AAAAAAGAAAAGGAAAACCATTTTCAGAAGTAGAACTAAATAACATGATTAGGGTGGCAAAGAAAACAGACACTAACTATAAATGTGGCTGGTGAGGTCACAGGAAAACTAAGAGACTGAGGACGTAGAAAAAGACTAAAAGATTAAAAAATCTCCTCAAAGAAGGAAGAAGTAAAAATCACTCAGTCAAAGCTTGATTCTTAAAACAAGGTTAAAAAAAGAAAATCTATTCTCCAAATAAATATCTATAATACATTTTCTACATTGCACCTGAGTTAGACATAAGTTTATCTGCAGTTTTGTCTTAAATACAATTCTATTCAGTTTATTTCTATACCTTCAATTCACATCATGTCATCTCAGGTCACTTTCCAGTTCAACCAGATCATCCAGTCAGATTGATTCAAAGTTTTCTATCTAAGGAAAACCAGCTGATTGCATCGACTCATTGACTCTTCAGCAATCCCTCACACTAAGCATGCTTGTAGCGACAGTGGAGAGGAAAAACTCCCTTTGAACAGGAAGAAACCTCCAGCAGAACCAGGCTCAGTGTGAGCGGCCATCTGCTGAGGCCCACTGGGGTTCAAGGAGACAGAAGCAGACATAGAAAAAGAAGCATAGATACAAAAGGCAACTGTCAACCAGCTCCACAGGCGGCCCCGTCCAGGAAACACACAGCCAGGCAGACGAGCTCCGAGCCAGCTCCCATGTCAGAGGATGAAGAGAGCACATCCAGTTAGTCACAGTCAGAGAAACAGGACTACACTGGAAAACAGGCCAAGCTCCAACATCTAGAAACAAAGGAGAGCAAAATTGAGAGCGAAGTGCTCTGTTAGGAACATAAGGAACAATCAGATCTCTGATATCAGATGGAGCTTGGCCATTTAAGGCTTTATATGTGAGAAGGAGGATTTTAAATTCTATTCTGGATTTAACAGGAAGCCAATGAAGAGAAGCCAGGATAGGAGAGATATGATCTCTCTTTTTCATTTTCATCAGAACTCTGGCTGCAGCATTTTGGATCAGCTGAAGGCTTTTAACTACAGTTTGTGGACTTCCTGATGGTAAAGAATTACAATAGTCCAGCCTTGAAGTAACAAATGCATGGACTAGTTTCTCAGCATCACCCCTGGACAGGAGATATTCTTTTCATCTATCTGCCCTACATCACCTCCTCTGGTGCTCTATCTGCCCTACATCACCTCCTCTGATGCTCTATCTGCCCTACATCACCTCCTCTGATGCTCTATCTGCCCTGCATCACCTCCTCTGGTGCTCTATCTGCCCTACATCACCTCCTCTGATGCTCTATCTGCCCTACATCACCTCCTCTGATGCTCTATCTGCCCTACATCACCTCCTCTGATGCTCTATCTGCCCTACATCACCTCCTCTGATGCTCTATCTGCCCTACATCACCTCCTCTGATGCTCTATCTGCCCTACATCACCTCCTCTGATGCTCTATCTGCCCTGCATCACCTCCTCTGGGCCTCCCGCACTACAATCCTACTATCCTATAGTTATATTTCTCCTCTGGTCACTAATGGTGGCGCGACGTTTTGATTTGAAGGTGGAAAAGTTGAAGCTCCTGGGATTATCTGCATTGTATTAAATTAAGCTTTATGTTGGGTGCCTGCAGGGTTGGGGGGGGGAATATGGCCGTCACTGTCATCTGGTTATGGCTCCATCTGAGGGACGGCAGCCCATCTGCTCTGAGAACATGAAAGGTCGCTGGTGAGCATTAATGCTGGATTGTATCCATTCATTGTTTAATGACCATCTGGGTCAATTAATTAAGAGTTTGCTGAGTGTTTAATAGCACTTGGCTAATTTGAGCCTTGTGATTAATTCTGAGTCCCCAGTGGTGGAAATGACCCTTACTGGGATTAGGATCACAACAATGGATGACAGATGACTGACAGCGCAGAGTGGCTTTGGAAAGCTGTTTTGATGTTTGAATGATGGCGGACTCTAAGGATGAAATGACCGCGTTGCTCATGGAGTTCCTACGGCAACCGGAACATATTGGAGCAGATCTGTGTTATCAGAGTGGGGTCATCAGGATAAACCAAAGCTGTGTTTGATGCCAAAACAAGGACACAAAAGGGTTAAAGATAAGGCTTTCATTTAGAACAGCTTGAGTGGATAAATATAACAGCAGCAGTAATGGTGCTTGGTTCATTCATTATAAAGTCATGTTACGGTGAAGTGAGTCTATTATTCATATTAATAAAAGTTCAATTAAAGAAACTAAAGATATTTGCTGATAATCACCTCCGTTTTTTCCAACTGCAATAAGATGTAAGAAAACATCCATTAAAAGTACAAGATTAAATTTTTCCCTAACAAAATGTAAAAAGTTATACAATAAATGTTTGGAAATTAAAACATGTTAAAAAACAAGACATTGCTTTTATTTTTTTAACTTAAATAATATTGTAATATTGTGAGCTGACAGTAAAGAGTGGCGTGACCTTTGCCATCCTTTCTGCTGTTGCATGCTGGGACAGCAGACTGAGCTGAAGCTCGCTAACAGACTTAGACTCAGCCTGAAGGTCAGTCAGGATGTTGAACAGGAGGAAATCCGGATGATTCTCCTCCTCTTGATGTTCTGGAAGCAGAAGCAGCTCCAGTCAGAGACGCATTTCCTCTAATTATGATAATAACTGAACTTTATTGAGCTCAAAATGGGGAAATTCCCTCCCTGGGTTTAACCCCTCCCCTTGGGGAGCAGAGGGGGAGCAGTGTGGGGTTAAGGGTCTTACTCAGGGACCCAGAGTGTCAGTCTGTGGGAGTGGGGCTCAAGGTCAGAACCTCTAACCAGTAGACCGCCACTCTGATGAGGTGCAGCCAGACCACGCCGCTCCACAGGGCGCCATTCCTGCCCGTGACCATCAAACCGTAGAGTTCATCTCTCTGACAGTTATTTCATTTCATCACTCATTATTTATTTATTTCATTACTTCACTAAGTGCAATGACACGGCCATGGTGCAACAAAGCTTATTTGTTACAGTTTTGTAAAATGTAAATACTGTTGATCGTATAAACTCTGGTTCTTCTATTATTTTATTCTTATATCTTATTTATCTCTTCTTGGTTCCACTGCAAGAAAAACATTTCCTGCAAGGATATACAGGTGCTGGTCATAAAATTAGAATATCATGAAAAAGTAGATTGATTTCAGTAATTCCATTTAAAAAGTGAAACTTGTATATTATATTCATACATTACATACAAACTCATATATTTCAGATGTTTATTTTGTTTAATTTTGATGATTACAAATGACAACAAATGAAAATCTCAAATTCATCATATCAGAAAATTAGAATATTACTGAAGACCAATAAAAACAAAGGATTTATAGAAATGTTGGCCAACTGAAAAGTATGAACATGAAAAGTATGAGCATGTACAGCACTCAGTATTTAGTTGGGCCTCCTTTGGCCTGTATTACTGCAGCAATGCGGCGTGGCATGGAGTCGATCAGTCTGTGGCACTGCTCAGGTGTTATGATAGCCCAGGTTGCTCTAATAGTGGCTTTTAGCTCTTCTGAATTGTTGGGTCTGGTGTATTGCATCTTCTTCTTCACAATACCCCATAGATTTTCTATGGGGTTAAGGTCAGGAGAGTTTGCTGGCCAATTAAGAACAGGGATACCATGGTCCTTCAACCAGGTACTGGTAGCTTTGGCACTGTGTGCAGGTGCCAAGTCCTGTTGGAAAATGAAATCTGCATCTCCAAAACGTTGGTCAGCTGCAGGAAGCATGAAGTGCTCTAAAACTTCCTGGTATGTGGCTGCGTTGACCCTGGACCTCAGAAAACACAATGGACCAACACCAGCAGATGACATGGCACCCCAAACCATCACTGACTGTGGAAACTTTACACTGGACTTCAAGCAACGTGGATGAAGTGCCTCTCTTCTTTTCCTCCAGACTCTGGGACCTTGATTTCCAAAGGAAATGCAAAATTTACTTTCATCAGAGAACATGACTTTGGACCACTCACCAGCAGTCCAGTCCTGTTTCTCTTTAGCCCAGGCAAGACGCTTCTGACGCTGTCTGTGGTTCAAGAGTGGCTTGACACAAGGAATGCGACAGCAGAAACCCATGTCTTTCATACGTCTGTGTGTGGTGGTTCTTGAAGCACTCACTCCAGCTGCAGTCCACTCTTTGTGAATCTCCCCCACATTTTTGAATGGGTTTTGTTTCACAATCCTCTCCAGGGTGCGGTTATCTCTCTTGCTTGTACACTTTTTTCGACCACATCTTTTCCTTCCCTTCGCCTCTCTATTAATGTGCTTGGACACTGAGCTCTGTGAACAGCCAGCCTCTTTAGCGATGACCTTTTGTGTCTTGCCCTCCTTGTGCAAGGTGTCGATGGTCGTCTTTTGGGCAACTGTCAAGTCAGCAGTCTTCCCCATGATTGTGTAGCCTATAGAACTAGACTGAAAGACCATTTAAAGGCTTTTGCAGGTGGTTTGAGTTAATTAGCTGATTAGAGTGTGGCACCAGGGGCCATCAATTTTGAACCTTTTCACAATATTCTAATTTTCTGATATGATGAATTTGAGATTTTCATTTGTTGTCATTTGTAATCATCAAAATTAAACAAAATAAACATCTGAAATATATGAGTTTGTATGTAATGTATGAATATAATATACAAGTTTCACTTTTTAAATGGAATTACTGAAATCAATCTACTTTTTCATGATATTCTAATTTTATGACCAGCACCTGTATAGTCATTGTGACTCTAATCAGTTTAACCAGTAGGTGGCAGTGTTGGTCCGCTGGAGGGGCCCCCCAATGTATCTTCCCGCTGACGTCAGCTTTATCCCTGTTTTTCATCCCTATTTATTTTTATTTTTAACAGGATATGACTATAAAAGGTCTCTGATTTGAAATTACATCTTCAACATTTAACCCACTAGTCTGTATCTTAATTACACATAAAGTTTCATTTGAATTATCAATCTGTTTTTTCAGTGTGAGCAAAGCCTCATTTGGAGCATTTTTCAGAGTTTTCCACTCATATATTCTGTGATGAGGAAAAACCAGCAGGTGGTTTCATCCTGCTGCTGTTTTCAGAGCAGTTTCTATATAAATTGCATTTTTCTTTTGTGATGCTGACCTCTGCCCCCCCGCTGGATGCTCTGCATCAGGCTCCTCCAGGGCCGCTGTCCTGCAGGTTTTCAATGTTTCTCAGCTTCAGCACAGCTGATTCTGATGATTGGAGGAAAACAAAAGCCTGTTAATCAGCTGAAGCAGGAAAGCTCTAAAACCTGCAGGACAGCGACTTCGGACACACTGCTCTACATCATCTGCTCACCAAAGTGTCATTACCTCAGTCAATAGCACCATCTGCTCAGCCGGGGCTCATGGTGGCTCCCAGGGGAACTTCAGGCCCTGGGAGTTTGAAAAGCTTGAATAAAATAAGAACAAATCTTCAGGGAAATGAAAATGATGGAGTGAAATACAATATTTGCTTCTCTGTGTGTGTGAGAGCATTGATGATGCATGTAGTTAGCATGACCTGGAGGTCGCTCAGGTGACTGTGCTGCTTCTGCAGTGGCTTTCATCCTGATCTGTGTTTGTATGAAGGCTTTCAGCAGGCCTGACTTTATGCATTCAGTGGTCTGCAGGATGCCTTTGAAGAGCAAATAGAAACATTAAATGCTCAGAAAGTAAATCAGGGTTTGTTGGATTTTCTTAGTTTTTACTCACAGTCTTCTGTTTTTGTTTCAGTCTTTATGTAACAAAAACTGATCACTGCTATTATTATGCTCCTATTATGTTATTCTTAGACATTTTTCTAAGGTCCTCATCTGTGTGACCATTTTCAATAATCTTTCTGCTGCTGTAAATTTGCCCATTGTGGGACAATAGAGAGATTTTCTGTTCTATAAAAGGGGTAGAAAGATATAAGTAAATCTAAACAATGTATGTATAAAAAAATATATCTGCACAATCTTTAATTTTCAACAACTTAGTTAAGCAAATTGTGTAAAATAAAATTATCAGATTTATAGTCCCCAAACTGCAGATCTATTAGAATCTGTCCTTAAATTCCAGCCAAACCCATTTACACAGTAACAGATAAAAACCTTTTGATAAATCAAACCTTACCGCCACATTTCTGACTCAATAACCATTAAAACAACTATTTTGTTAAAAGGTAGTTTTTCCTCTCCACTGTCGCTACAAGCATGCTTAGTGTGAGGGATTGCTGAAGAGTCAATGAGTCGATGCAATCAGCTGGTTTTCCTTAGATAGAAAACTTTGAATCAATCTGACTGGATGATCTGGTTGAATCATCTCTATAAAGTGACATGAGATGGCATGATGTGAATTGGAGCTATAGAAATAAACTGAATAGAATTGAATTTTCATGCATCTCAGACGGAACCATTCACAGACTGGATTATATTAAACTGAACTTCCAATTGTCACCACTGTTCGGCGCCAAGTAACCCTTCCTCTGATCACAGCTTGCTTGGTCTCGCTATGAATCCTGGGAAAAGCGAGGATACATCGGACCCGTCCTTCAAATCGGGCTAAAAGAAGGACGCATTTTAAGGTCGCATAACGAGGACTCTTGGAATCCGACCAGACCTCGGCGCCTCGCTATGACATCATCGTCCTTCGAATCAGGCCTTCTGAGGACGCAGCCCATGAATTTGAACAGGGCCCATATCTGAGCCTGTCTCTCTCCCTGACCCTATTATCATAGGCTTTAACCCCACCCACCCCCCCAGTCCAGTGGATGGTTTTTTTGAGGCACTAAACAGCACTCCAGCAGTACCCCAGGGCCTGATAACATACCTGGGCAGGTGTATAAGGAGTGGTCAGATCAGCTGGCTGGTGTCCTCACAGACATCTTTAACACCTGGCTGGACCAATCCATAGTGCCAGCATGCTTCCAGTCTGCCTCCATTATTCCAGTCCCAAAGAAGCCTCAGGTCGCCTCCCTCAATGATTAGCGGCCTGTCGCTCTGACTCCCATCATGATGAAGTGCTTCCAAAGGCTGGTTAAAGAACACATCGTCTCCAGTCTGCCGCCAACATTCCACCCAGGTTGAATGTTATTAAGTAATTTAAGGAATAATTTCTCTGTTGTTAAAATAAAACTCTTGTTTTAATCATGTAAAGCTTTCATCCACTGATGCTTCTCTAAAGTGAATAAATAAAAACACATTTATCATCCAAAGTTCCACAGAGGAAATGATCCGGCTCCAGAGGAGACACCAATGTTGGCTCACTGTGTTGAACTAAGGAGCAACTGGACCAACAGTGAGTTTCACACCACAGACACCAGGGAAACATGTTTGTTGACACGCCAGATGTTTGGGACAGCAGACGGTCAACTTTGTTTAAACAGACCCATGATTTAGCAGATTGCTACACATCTTCATTTCCTCCAGCTCAGCTGACCCAAGAAGCATCAAAATAAATCAATGTAGATCCTAAATATAGAGAAAACAGAGCTGCTTTAAAGCCGTGCAGAGTAAGGTTCTCCAGATAATCCAGAAAATTCAAGGTCCTTTACTGAAATATAATGTGACAGAACAACAGGAACATTTCTTATATACTCTGCAGTTAAAAAGGGACATGTGGGAGAGTGGAAGGTGCTTAGATTAGACCAATCTATCTGTTTGCAAGGCTGTTTTCTATATTGTTTGATGCACCTAACTTGATTTTGCTCATTATTTTTTCTTCTGTTCTCCAGTAAAATCACACTGTGTTCTGCCTTTGCTGTGAAAAGCTATTGCAATATATTTCAGGATACATTGGCGACAGGCTGCAAATTGCGTGAGTCATCCATAACGTGTGTGTGACAGAAATCGCATCACTCCTTTTTATTGCGTGCTTTGGGTGTGCAGGACTGTGTCACTACAACCTCAGAGGTCACTGCAGGAGGAGCTGCCCGGTTGGACCGCGACGCAGCCGCCTCATTCCTCAACTCTTCCGACTATTGTTTTCACCTGAAGTTATATCAACAAACAAATATTTCCCAACTGAACAATGCCCCCTCAGCACGTGGACAATCGCCATGAATGCGTCTCAGACTGATGACAGCTTTACTGCCTGTGTGAGTAAAAGCTGCTCCATCAGACAGATTCCTGAAGGCGCTGCTGCTTCACTGCTCTCTGCATTTTCCTCTCAACAAGCTAAAGGTCAAACGGCTCCTCTTGTTGTGTCACAGCTGCGCTCACACACACACACACACATTACTGAATGTGTGTGTGTGTGTGAGAGAGAAAGAAAGAAACAACATGGCAGACATAATAACCATCCAGACCAATGAGTCCTTAATTATTACCCATATTGGAAAACACTGGACATTTCTTTACTGGTCAGAACACTTTCCCAGTTTTTAGTCATTGAAAGCCAGGATTATGCACCTGTAGGGAATTGATAAGATTTTCACATTTCCGATTCCCTTATGGATTCTGTGAAACTATGAACTTGGTAAGTTTACGTTGACGTTCATACCTTCTCCTGGGACGTTCTATCTCTGCCTGCCTGCCTCGGTGGAAACAGAAGGCAGTGAACAGGATCTGCAGCCTCTGATCCAGCCAGGCTGCCCGTCTCCTCACAGTCATCGATATCTAGAAGGCATCCGTTTAATAAAAAAACATTACTGTACAATTTCGGGAAATAAACTCAATAAACTCACAATAAACTCATCTCCCCCTGATTTCAATAAACGAGCGTCACCTTTCTCTCGGTCCCTGAACTGCGGAGCAACTTGGTAGCATGTTAATGACCCCAAAGAGAGGAAGGAAACTGGTTTATTTCCAGAAATGATTCACTAGGAACCACATTAAGCTCAGCCAGTGGTTTAAAACTAGCTACTTCCCACCGGAGTTGCCTTCCATGCTGGTCGTAACTTTAGCTTCTGTCCATCAAAAACACGGCATTTCTTAAAGTCTACGCTATGTTGTGTTCGCAGGTGTTTCTGCATGTTGGATGTATTTCGTCCCACTTTACATCCAAACTTTCGATCAGTTTACCCGATGGGACGCCATTTTTTTGGTTTGCTTTCCTAGACTTACAACTGGTCACGTCGTACTTGCTTACTGAATGCGGTGTGCGTAACTTGCGTAAAAAACGTGACGTAATTTACATAGAAACATGATGTAAGTCGTACTGCCCAGAGCGACTCTGGTGCTGCCTGGAATCGTTAAAAGAACTGCTAAGCAAGCTGCCAAACGGTGCCATGGAATTGGAACACATGGAACCAGTTCTGAACAGGAACAGGTTTTCGATTCCCATCCTTATGCACCTGCCCTGATCTTAACCCCAAACACCTGTTTATCCTGGTCTAACCCAAAGGCACCTGGGAGTAAATGGTCCATTTCAAATCCCAAAGCTGGTGGATTAAGATGATAAAGTAGCTTAGCGGACTGAAACCTCTAGTCAGTGATCTGGGACGGCATTTCCTCAACTCTTTTATTTTGGATTGCCCACTAGTTGTACTTCCTCTGGGAACTGTCTCAGTTATTCTTAGTTCTTATACTTTTAATAAAACATGACCAGTGGGAGAGTTTCTAAACAGTTAGGCATTAGTTAAGGTCAAGAGGACAATGTGATCTCACAAATTAAAAAAAGCATTCAAGTCAGACTTTAAAAAGGGAAGATTTTCTGTAGCTTTAGGATTTATAAACCCAAAGTAAATATCAATTTTACCTGAAAAGATAAATGACTGCTTTAAAAAGTGCAAATGGATGGAAGACAGACTTTATTTTACAGCTGTTAAATTAATAAAAGGTGTTTTTCAGTTTGGAAAGGAGGAGGAATAAATATGAAGCTGTTTTTTCCTCAGTAATCATATTTTTTTTTCAGAAAATCTAATCTAAATTGAGAATTTGCCGCAGTAGCTGATCTAATTACTCACTCCATTCACCTGCTGTTCCCTCCCCGCTCTCTAATTACCATTCATGTTATCCACCTGCTCTGTCTGCTTTATATACGGTTCAGCCCAGCTACCGGGGCCAGATCATGATTCGTGTTACGTATTGTTGTTATTGGTTGTTGTTTGTTTGTTTGTGTTTGAGGTAAGTCCCTGGTTCATGTCCTGACTCTTGGGGGCCTGTGTGTTGAGAGGGTGTTTGTCTCCCATCTCCTGATCGTGTCCCAGCTCTTCTCCTTGGAGCCTTTCGGGTTTTTGGCTCGGAGCACGGGTGGAGACCGGTTTTAATTCATGAGATCCTGGGTCCTAGGAAGAGCCAGTTTAAAGTTCTGCAGTTCTCATGGTACCACGTCTTGTCTCTCTTCCTCTCTACCACTGGTCCACCTGTCTCCATCTGAGCATGTCTGTCTGACCTGTTGGTGGGATGAAGAGAAGCAATCATATGAATTTGGTGTTCTGAGAAAGAGACATTTAAAACATGCAGATCAAGTTTCAGAGGGGAAAGGACTCTGAGGGCCAGGCTTAGAAAGCACCTCATCAGTTAAACATTGTTTCTGTGAATGGCATTTATCAAAATAAGCCTAAAAGAGTTTCCCCCAAATCTGCTTCAAATGTTTTATTTGTTATTCCATTAATCACAAATGAG